AAAGGACATGTGGAAGCAAGTACTAGCAGCTATCATGTTTCAATTAAGAAGAAAGACATGAAGATGTCTGCCAAATCGGCTGACAAAAAGGACATCAAGGGTTTTTTTTGCTCTAGTGTGTTATGAATCAAATTTCATAAATGTACCTCATAACACATGGTGGATCGACTCTGGTACAACTGTCCACATATGTAAAATCATACAGCAATTGCTGAACAAAATGACCCCTACGAAAAGTGAACGATGCATCATTATGAGAAATAAGATGTAGTCACATGTGGAAGCTGTTGGAATGTTCAAACTTGTTTTAAAGATTGGTCACATCTTATATTTACATGACACTTTCTATGTTCCGGGTTTTTCTAGAATTTTTTTATCAATACCTATACTTGTTTCTTATGGTTATCATGTTATGTTTGGACCTTCGTTTGTTAGTTTGCACTTAAATAATGTTGTGGTTGGTAATGATATTTTAGAGGATGATTTATTTAAATTATCCCTAGATATATCGTTTGAAACATCTTTGTTATCCCTGCATGATAAAGAACATTTTGGATTGAAACGTGACATTTTGAATGAAAATTCTTCCACCCTATGGCACAAGAGATTATGATACATCTCCATAAGGATAGGTAAATAATGGGATCTTAACAAGCCTTGAAGTTACAGATTTTGATATTTGAGTAGACTATATTAAGGGTAAACAGACTAATAAGTTTAAGAAAAGTGTCATAAGAAGCTTAAATGTGTTGGATATCACACATACAGATATTTGTTGGCCATTCTCAACCTCATGTTGTACAAGCCATAAATATTTCATCACTTTCATAAACGACTTCTCACAATACGTTATCTTTACCTCTTGTTTTATAAGGACAAAGCCTTAGATGCTTTCAAAATATTTAAAACAGAGGTAAAGTGACAACTTGATAAAAAGATCAAAACTATGAGGTCGAATAGGGGTGTTGAGTATTATGGTAGGTATACTGAATCAGGACAACACTTGGGTCCATTTGCTCGATTTCTGCTGGATAAGGTATAGTGGCACAATATAACTCCTCTTTTTGGCCTAGTTTTGACGATTTAGTGAAAATCATTGGACTGCTTGCTAAGGGAAACATAAGACATCCCTCAAAGCCCCCATGCTATTTATTCCTGATCAAAGTGGAGTAGCTGAAAGGTAGAATCAAATACTAATGAATATGATTAGGAGTATGATTAGTTACTCCACTCTCCTAGTTCTTTTTGGGGTGATGCCTTGAAAACCGTCGTGTACATTCTAAACAAGGTTCCTACTAAGGTTGTCCCTAAAACACCTTTTGAGTTATGGACCAGTAAAAACCCAATTTAGCACATCTATACATATGTGGTTGTTAAGCTGAGGCTCGGGTGTATAATCTCCAAGAGAAAAAGTTGGACCTTAGAACCATAAGTTACTATTTCATTAGTTATCCCGGTAAATCCAAGGGATACATATTTTATTGTCTTGACCGTTCTCTACAGATTGAAGAGACATGGAATGCAAAATTTCTTGAAAATGACCAAGTTAGTGGGAGTATACAACCTCAAAATATTATTTTTGAGGAACATCAAACTCTAATTTCTATGCAAAGTTCAGTTGGTAATGATTCCTCCTCCTATTATTCATAATGATTTGATGGAGGGTGAGTCAACTATTAATGCACCATCGGTAACTGAACTAGCTATCATTGAGATTCTTGCGTCCCCTACACATGTATTGGGGCAAGAAAAAACTTTAAAAAGGTCATCAAGGGTTAAGAAATCTGCAATTCCATTTGATTATATTGTGTATCTTAAGAAGTCCAATTTTGATATTGGAAAGTGTGATGATCCAACTACTTTCTCACAAATCATGAATAGTTTGAATTCCTCCACCTGGTATGATGAAATGAAGGAAGAGTTGAACTCAATGGATAAAAACAATGTTTAAAATCTAGTTGAACTATCTCCTGGTGCCACGGTCGTCACCTGTAAATAGGTTTATAAGACCAAAAAAGACTCTAAAAAAAGGTAGAATGACATATGGCCAGACTTATAGCCAAGGGGTTCACTCAAAAGAAAGGCATCGATTACAATGAGACTTTTCCACTAGTTTTTAAGAAAAACTCTCAGAGGATAATTATGGCAATGGTGGCTGATTTTGACTTAGAGCTTCACTAGATGAAAGTGAGAACAACTTTTCTTGATGGTGGTCTAGAAGAAGAGGTGTAGGGTTTTGTTTCAAAGGGGCAGAGTCATATGGTTTGCAAGCTAAATAAGTCTATATGTGGCCTTCGACAGTCCTCCCATCAATGGTATCTTAAGTTCAATGATGTGATTTCTTCATTTGGTTTTGTAGAAAATGCCTTTGATCATTGTATATATCTTAAAATCAGTGGGAGCCAATTAATTTTTCTAGTCCTATATGTAGACGATATTTTGCTTGCTAATAGTGATTTGGTGTTGCTTATTGAGACTAAACATTTTTTCTCTAGTCGTTTTGAAATGAAGGATATGGGTGAGGCCTCGTATCTCATAGGCATAAAGGTTCCCGGAGATAGATCTGGAGGAAAAATTTATCTATCTTAAAGGACCTACATTAAGAAAATGTTGGAGATATATGGTATGGAAAACTCCAAACCAAGCCTTGCACCTATGTCTAAAGGTGGCAAATTAGATAAGTCTCAATCTCCGAGAAATGAGTTTGAAAGGGGGCAGATAAGAGCAAATCCTTATGCATCATTGGTTGAAACTTTAATACATACCCAAATTTGCACTAGATCAGATATTGCATTTGTAGTTAGTTTATTGGGTAGATTCCAAAGTGACCCAGGTTTGGATCACTGGAGAGTTGAGAAGAAGATGCTTAGATATCTGCAAGGAACATTGGATTACATGCTTATGTATGGAAAATCAAATTCTCTAGAGGTTGTCGAATATACAAATTCCGACTTTGCAAGATGCCCAGATAGCAAGAGACCAACATCAGGATATATATTTTTGCTTGCTAATGCTGCAGTCTCTTGGAAAAATACAAAACAAAAATTAACAGCAGCTCCTACTATGGAAACTAAGTTAGTTGCATGTTATAAGGTGATTACACAACCAATTTGGTTGACGAAATTTATCATTGAGCTAAAGGTTGTTGATTCTATTTCGAAGCCCATAAGGATGTTATGTGGGCAAGGTATCTAATGATAACAAGTACTTGGATATTAAATACCTTGTCATAAAGAAGATATGTGAAACCTTATGACCAAAATTATAGCTCTAGGATAATACAAAGATCATGTAGATGATACAGGTCTAGCGAACTATATTTTTGGTTAATGTATTATTTGTGCACTTTTGAAGACATTATCAATTTATTGAGACGAGTTAAACGTATCGGGGTGGGTCATTTTGTGTCAAGTTGATTTCAAGTTTGTGTCGAAAATCCTAAAACACGAATCTAACATGTTTAATAATCATGTCGAAATGTGTAAACACTAACTAGATCTGACCATTAAACGGATTACCTGAATCCAATTTGTTTAACCCGTTTAATAAATAGGTCGTTTTCAAGTTAACATACATAATATGACCTGTTTAACACACACAACACGACCAGTTTAACACACATATCTTGTTTTCACACCTGTTTATTACCATTAAATACATTATTTAATCATTCATCCAAAATTTCAAATAATATTTTCACCAATAACATATCACATCTCATTAATGAAATTAACTAAAATGCATTCAAGTTTTAACCCAAAAATTAAAGAAATAACTATACTAGTATACTGTCATAATAATGTTAAGAACTATACTGTCAATTACTATAGTAGAAGCAAGAATTAATAAGTAATAATGTTAATACAAAATCAGTCATTGATAATAGGCAAACTATAATGCTATAAACGGGTTAAACGTCCATAATGGGTTACGTCGGGTTCGTGTCTAAATCATATTAACCGTTTAAAATATACGGGTTAATCAAGTCAAAATTAGGTTGACCTCCGACATGATTTTTTTTTTGCGTTTAAGTGTGTTGACCCGTTTAATTTCTTATCCAACCCATTAATTGTATCTTCGGTTCTTGTCGTGTTAATGTGTCGTGTCGAAAATTGAAATCCCTAAGTTTATTGCATCACATTTGTTATGTTATTCTACTTATAACATTTGTCACATGAATATAATATTAGCAATCAAACATTTGACCAACAAATTAATTTTATGAGAAATCCATTTATAAAGAAAATTAGCCAAAAGACTTGATTATAAGAGTTTGGTGATATTATGATCATGGAAGGTTATATGTTATATACTGGTGTATATCCGCCATGGTTCATATTACTATTCTTAGGTAATCAAGAATAAAGTTTAGGTCACTCATATTGAGATAAATTTGATAAGCGCGCATAACTCTACCAAATCCAAATATCTGCTTATTTCAAAAATATATTATTATTTTTATTATTTTGTTTAACTTTCCTTGTCAATATGGTCCAAATGGGAGAATGTTGGGACTTATTTGGTGGGACCCATAAGTGGACCACAATTTACAAGGTACAGAGTTAGGTTATGGGATAAGGATATCCTAATTAAAAGACCTAACCTATGTTGGTTTGGTTAGTGGGCAGTTTCCTTATAAAAGTGGAGTCCTAGATAAAGGAAACAGTTTAATTAATGATCAATTTCCCTAAAAGTTTTTTTTATGGAAGGGAAGTGAAACTGATTATTTTAAACTAAGGCATTTGGCTAAGAGTGAGGGAGATATTAGTTGCCAGAGAGACCCCATCTCCTATTCACGCTTACAGACATCTCACTCTTTGGAAAAACTATCTACAACCTATGGAAAATTAAGTTAGTGAATATGTTTGATATATGATCCGATAAATGACCATTAGGTCTATCAATATGGCCTTATTAACATGTGGATAGCCACCACATATTTGAGTTCTGAGCATGCAGAAGTGGAAAAATACACATCCAAAATAAAAAGCTAAACAGACTCACCTGCCAATGGATCCTTCACAGAACACAAAGAATGAACCATCCTTGCTAAGTGACACACCATTAGAAAATTGGAGACCCCGAACAAGGACTGTGGTTTCTTTTGTATTTGGATTATATTTCAGGACCCTCCCACTGTCTTCTGCGGCGAAAACTAACTGCATAAAATTCCTGAAAACAAATATTGCGCAATGACTAAAAATAAAACTCAAATAGCAAAACACGATAGAAAAGCAGCTTGCAGTAGTAGAAAGTTGTTTATATCATAAGAGAAACTGAACTTGCAAATGGCTGCTCTCAGTCCATGCAGGCATCAAACAAAAGGCCTGCTAGACCAAACTACTTTATTATATCAAAACCCTGAAACAGTTTCATGTACCATAAAAAATCAAGGAGTTAAAGTGAAACGTTGGAAAGATAGCGATACTAACAACGTTGATCAGTACAAAAACTTTAAAAAAGAGATTTTCCAGACTGGGTGAGTAAATGTAAATTGTAATAGAGATCATCAACTGATTAGACTTTTCTCTTTTAATGTTGTTTTCTTTCCATCTTTCTTTCAAAATTCCTGATTACAACACTCTTGCATGAATCTAAATTCGATTCCTGGAAAAAACTGTGGAACAGCCTTTTGGAGACTATTCATCTTATTTAGTGCAAGGACATTAGTATCCTTTCTCAATAGCATTGTGTTTTTGCACTAACATTATGTGGAATTTAGTGGCCCTAACTGTACGACTTTCTTTTATATTAGGTAATCCCAGAAAATCACATTCTAGGGTTGTAATCCCACTATAAAGCAAACCTACCTCCTTTGATATTTGGTGCTGCTATCTGTAAAGTATATATTCCCTTCTTCATCGATATCCAGGTCGTTGGTGAACCTCAGAGGCACCCCTTCAGCTTCAGTTGCCAATGATGTTGCTAATCCACCTTCAGACCCAACCTTCATCAACCCAAAATAAGCATCTGCAATGTACAAATCACCTGTTTTCTTTTCAAATCGAAGTCCCAAAGGCCTGCCACATATGTGCTCATTTTTCAAGTAACTCAAAGCAGATGGTTTCGGGGCACAAATTTCTGACCTGAATTCCACATTGCAGATGGTATATGAGAAAAACTACAGCTATTTAGAAGAGGATCCTTGTAGAATTTTTCACAAAATCAAGAAAAACAAACACGACTCGGACCCTTTTCATATAATAGCAAGTAAATAAGCCCAATTATTCAGAATTAGGTGTGATCTTTTAAAGTCCAAATAACATTTGAAAAAGTTGATAGCATATAGTCTTCACTTTAAAACATTGCAACTAGCTATGTTAGCAATAGCATTTCTCAGAAAAGCAATAGATTGGATTTCCTTTCCTGTATTTTTCAAATAAATCATTTCTTTAGGAGCTTTTATTTCCTTAAGCATATGCATGCAGTTTATAAAACCCAAACATCACTGATTCAGCGTCAATGTATATGAGAAGTATAATATTCATGGATATTAACACATATTTAAGCTGCAATATAATTCTAACATGTAAGCGGACATTGTTTATCCCCACTCCTTTTCCTCCTCAACCCTCTCTCAGCCTCGGATTCGCCTGCCCACCCACGCATGACCCTCACTCACTTAATGCCTCCAGATCTATTTCACTAGATGACTTCAATAAGCAACAATTAGTTTTAGTCGCCACTTTTAACACATCATGCCAAACTCAGATGCTCACTTTCTTATCTTCCTTCCATTGATAAATTATATGTATGGACAACAGACCATCAAAAGAAAAAGAAAGGTGAAACACCTGCCAAACAGAAGTTATTGACAGTCGGCCAAAAAAAAATGCATCAGAATAACTTGGAAGAAAGTACTTTCAACATGTTTAGTTTGAATTGACCAATCAAGAAAAGTTATAAAGCCATGATTTTGCATCGACTGTTTATTCTCAATATTTAGGCCATCAATTTATTGATTTGATAAGCACATTCTAACTTATATCCCTTGCCATCCTAAATATACTGGGTGTTGGATATCACCTCAGTAGAGAAAGTACCAGCATCACTGAATATAATACTCATTTCATTTATAGTATTCTTTTCTTTTGAATACACGCTATTAATCCTTCATATTTCTTCCCTCCTGGTTGATTTAACACACAAAAAAACCTAGTCAAAAATAATTATCTCTCAACGACTAGCTAATATTTTTCAACAAAATACAATTAATTTGAATCATAATCAACAAAACATTGGATAAAGATCCATTCTTCTGTTATTTGTGATAAGCAGATAAGTAACAAACACACAATTGGATTGCTATTTTAAATGGGCTATTCTTGTAATAAACTCAATGAATGAAATTTCGGAAGTTTGGTGCTGACTGAAAAACAACGATGATACTGACAAATGACAAGATTCTAACATCCTCCTCCCTATTAACATAGTTGACCCTGATAAATAGGACCAATGTTTTGTGAGCTCAATTAAGTCAGGCTGAAATAAATTTAATGCAACTAAAAATAAGAACCACAGTGGAACCTAACCAAAACACCAAGAACTCAATACAATTGAACTCACACTACCCCCTAATATTTGTGGCCTTGCCAATTAAAATGCATACGCAGGCCTTTTGGAGGATATCTTGCCTTCCATATTGTACCTCTTTCCTTACTTCTCTTCCTTAATATTGTTTATAAAAATGCATCTGCAGGCAGGAAATTGCCAAAGACAATCAGGTTTTGTTTAACATTTTACGAAATTGAGTAACTAAATCCATCTTTCTAAGCTATTTTGTTAGAACATACAACATTGAGAGCTGCAACTCTAGCCAATTCATGGAACATTTCTAGAGTCTCTATTCCAGAGTCACCTCTACTGTGGATTGTTCAGAGTATGCAGAATCTTAAAAAGCAATGCTACTACAGTATAAATATGGTAATGTTGGGGGAAGATTATAAATAATGCCATTAGGGCTTTTACCACATTGTCTAATGAAAAGTGGTTAAAAATATTATTATAGACACAAGTTGGTCATCAGGTTATAAAATATCTCGTAAGAAATTCATAAGTGAGCATTGACTAAACATGCTCCATTTGCATTGGCTTCTGATGTTGGTAGTTGGTGCAGTCCTTTCTCTTCAATTCAGTGTAGTTACAGTAAGCTGTCCCAGGACCTGGATGACATCATAGGCAAAGGAAGTTCCCTAATTGTGTAGGAAAACCTCACCCAGGTTGGTGGCTGCCGAGATTTTCAAGCTTCCACCTTCTGAGATCACCAGGGCATTTGCTTATGGCAAGTGAGTATGTAATGAAAAAGTAATAAAGTATGCTGACATATTGTATATCAATTGGACTTAAACATAGATTTCAAATATTGAGATATATTTTAACAGTATTTCTTATTATAAATGAGAATCAATGCCAAATGCACAATTCTCTATTTTTAGGGCATATTGAAGCATTGATTTATAGAAACATCTTTTATATAGGTGGAACAGAAAAAATGTCATTACCCTATGTGGCCCCTATTAACCATTGGTACTCAGATGGATGGTTTGGACATGGAAAAAAATGGCTGCACTTAAGGCGAACACACAACTTTTCAGTAGTTAGCCTGAGGACTTTGATATTCTACGGTTAATTGCCAAGCAAGTATGAGGACGAAAAATTAAGGGAAGTAAGTGGGCATAATGGCTCTTTGTCCAGGCTTATTTTCTGTAACATTTAGCTTATTGCTGAAAATAAAAAAAAATTGTGAGTATGCTGCAGCTATTAAGCTTAAAATAAGCTAAAAAAAGCTTAAATAATCCATAATCCTTGTGCACCCCCAACGGGTTGCTCTTCCAATTGTAGTTTTTACAGAGGCACACGTCTGTACTACCAATGACACAATTCACTTTCTAAGATTCTCCCACCCAAAACAAAAAATCCAACCATGCCCTTGTATGAAACCATTTCAGCCCATGACCTCACATCCATTTGCTCTTCCCCGAACTTCCTCCCCTCTCTCTCTCTCCTGTCAATTCGCAAGCGATCATCTTCTAATCAACAATGAAGCTCGGCGATAACCCTTGGTGAGTTGGTGTATTGTGGTTACACATGGAATTTTTAATCCCCATATTTTTCCATTTAGTAATATTATGTGTAATTGGACAACGAAACATCAATAGTGATCAAGATCATTAGTTTGGATGATGAAGTACCACTTAATCATCATAAATTTAGATTTTTCATTTTCATTTTGCAAATTTAGGGTTAATTTATGAATTCAGAAAGTTAGGTTTGGGGACCAACTGGGTTGGTCAAATTTATTGGATATTGTTATTGGTCACTATAGAGAGCGATATTAGCGCAATAGTATTCTTGGCTCCGGGTATGTAGGGCAACCCACCAAATAGCTGCCAAGCTAAGGGAGGAGGTTAGGGGACCAGAGTCGACAAGGTTAGGTTTATTTTATAAAGAATCAGCTCTTTGAATAAGCGGGGCTTGGCGAAAACCTTGTGCACCAGACAACCTTATTGTTAATTGTTAATGTCAAGGATGTCCCCTATAGAAATAGATACTCAGATTATGTCAGCTTGTATTGTTATGCAATTTTAGGATTTTATCTGTAAAAATATTCTATTTAGGGCATTAGTCAAGTCCTTTGAGTTCGGAATACATATAGCTTTTGGATTTGGATAGGAATAAGGATTGTTTTGGGGGACAATACATTATTGTTGTTTTCCATCTTATAGTATTGTATTGCTTGTACATGGGATGATAGTCCATCTTTGTAGCCTTCGAAAGTCTTTTCTCGGATTGGGGTCAAAATTATCTTATAGCTAGAGAACATGTGAAACTGCAAGGTCAGACCGAGATAAAAGAAAGTGAAATTACATGTAAAAGCAGCTTTTTATGATGATATGTATTCTTTGGAGGGTCAAATTGAAATTTTCTTACAATTGGTGAAATCTTGGTTTTATTTTTCATCAACGTACAAGCATCTGTTTGTATGTGTACTTGTGCTTAAATGGTGGGATATTTATGGAGTTTCTCTCACTGTTTGCTTTAACTCTGCAACAGTTAGATTCCAAATTGTTTGTTCTCTAGATTCTTCTCTTACTCATCCATATACGTATAGAACATTAACTTTTTGACCAGTGCGTGATATTTTTTCTTTTGCCTGCGGATTTTGAGCATAAAGATTCCACTGACCTGTAAAAAGTGAACCTAACCCTTGGAGATGCAATAATACATCTAAGAAATTATTCCATCGAAAATACTCCCTTCGGGATCATCATCAAAATTATACTTGTTCCACCGGGGGTGTTTCCTTAGTATATCAGTTGCTCTTAGAAGCATGGGAGCAGCTCGGTATTCTCCCTATAAAGCTCCCAAGACATCGGCGTTGCTAACCAAACGTAGCCTTACAAAAGGGGGCTGCAATTCTGCCCTCCGCAATGTAAGTGCCACCCCTGGTAAATCTTTTTTTTAACAAGTAGCTCTCACAATTTGCTATTTGTTGGCACTTTACTCATCCTACTCCAAGAATACTGCTCAATTTCTAATATTCTCTGGTCCTTTGGAGAGTGTGCATGTTCAGCGTTGTTGCCTTTATGCAGATGGCACTCAACTTACCCTAAGTCAAGGATTGGAACGTGGATTGTTGCTTCTTTGAGAAACTGAAGAAAGTTGTGTTTATAATGGGCTGAGTTGAAGAAAACTGAAGCTGCTGGTGATGATACTGTGTACTCGATTTTGCTGCTACCATTTCAAGATTAATTTTTTCAGTGTTGATTCCAATTGCTGTAACTTCTTCTAATGTCCAAAAGCAATTGTCTAGGTGGATGTCTACTTGGTACCAAGTTAAGGGTACCAGATATTGGGAGGCTCTGACAGTATTCTTTTGTGGTCTCATACACAGGTGGTTTTGGTCCCTTTACTGCTCGTCCAAAACTTAATTTCTTTACACTTCCTCTACTGATACAATTAACAATAAGATTTTGGCCAAACCTGTTCCAGCAATGTAAAATGTTGTTCTTTGGACAATATAAAATAGAAACAAGAAGGAAACCAAAAAAAATGTATAAAGATCCTAAAAGCATATGAATATGCAATAGGAAAACTAGAACCACTGCCATTCGCTAAATCTTACCAAGTGAACAGAGAACCCATAGACCAATACTACTTGGTTTATTTGGGGTGTAAAACAAGAATGGTCATCTTACACTTAAAAAGTAGAGAACCATGGCATATTCTCCAATTGATGATGTAAGTGAACTGGATGAAAGGAGAAGTTATATTGGCAACAAATTTAGTCACAAAAGAAAAATACTTAAAATTATGCAATCACATCTTAATTCTACATCTCATATTTCAGAAACTTGTAGTCACAATAATAGGAGAAATGAAATATGTTGTTTATTACCAGTGTCCATGTCAAAAAAATGGGAAAAAGAAACTTCGTCAGTTATTTCAGTTAAATAAATTTATCCTAATGCTTCAAAGGGGGAAATAAAAAAAAATAAAAAGAAAGAAGGAAACTCTACCTTAGTAACGACCTTCCATAAACCAAACTCATATCTCAAAACTCAAGTTTCTAGTCAAATACATTCACGTTCCTCCGTCTACACAAGTCAATTACATAGAAAATAGAGCTACATACACTATCTTAAGATAAATTTTCAACACAACATTCCATCAATAAATACCCACCATCCAAAACTCCAGTACAAAGCTAATATACCAAGTTTCAGCTAAAATTTTCAACACCCTACAGTAAAAACACACAAATTTCAGCCAAAAACTAATCATATAAATATCAGGAAACTCACCGATTGGCTGAAGTATACGCGAAATCAGTCCATTTCTCACCATTCCAGAACACAATCCTACCATCAGCAACCCCGGTGTAAGGTCCACGGCCTTGAGGATCAAAGACCATGCTTTCGGGCCCTTGGACCTGGTTCAGAAACTTAATTTCCGACTTTTGTAAAAGATTTTCACTGTCCCTTTCCACTGGCACATCGGACCATGGAGCCATGTCCACCTTGTAGGCCTCGAAGTCCGGGAAGTCGGAAATTGGGCTGTGCTTAAAAGGGTCAACTCCACAGTAAATAGCTAAGAGAAGGAAGAGTCCCCCAAGGATTCCGATGGGTGACATTGCCGGAAAACTAGAGGTCCTCGGTGAGTGAATTAGTGGGTGTAGTGGATAGACTCTGAAGTAGTTGAGAGGTTTGGACTTTGTGAACCCTATCTCTGTGCGTTTCTTTCAGCGTTAACTACCAAACAACTACCTTCAGTTTGTTGTGACTGTACAGTGTGCAGCTCCGAAGCTGCCCTTCTATAGAGAGAGAGAGAGAGAGAGAGGGAGAGAGGCTTTGGATGAATCTCCAAGATTTTGTTTTCTCGTGGAGGGTTAGGATTGGGTACGTACGCTGTTACGTAAGTTGGTAATGGCCAATGAAGTATGGTCATTTGATGTGATTATTATGTATGATCAAAAAAAATATGATTATTATGAGAGTAAATTACACTTTACCCTATTAAACAATTACCTTTATTTCACTTTATACTCTCAACTATAAATTTTTTTATATTACACATTAAAATATCAATTTTATTTCATATTACTCCAATAATTAATGACAAGCTTAAAATTTTTGTCAACGAAGGGAGGGAAACCCCAAATAGCTTCCCGCTAAGTGTCTAGTACCAATTTATGTTTACATCTTTTGCAACCAAATGGTTGTTAGGAAGAAAAAAAAGGTCGGCGAAAGAAAGAAAATTTAAAATTTAAGAATGACAAAATTATAGATGAATATTTTTCTTAATTTTTGACCCATACATATACAACAGATAATTGTTTATTGATAGTAAAGACCATTGACATGCACATTTATGGTCAAAAAATTGACAGCTGTTATCTATTGGAATAAATTTTATAGTTGAGGGTACAAAGTGAAATAAAAAAAATAATTTGAGGTGATAAGTACAATTTACCCTTATTATGACTAAAGGCTAATCTCATTTTGCACCTTGAGAGATGTTTTATTTTTTAATTTGTACTCTCAATATTATGAATTAGTAGTAATATGGATTTAATCTTACTATCGCTCAATTTTTCATTATAAATTAAAAAATGTGAATTGCAAGTACTTCAGGCTTTATGTGTAAATTCATCAACTATTGACGTTTTATGTGAATTGGATATGATATGGTTAACTTTTAGTTGATTAATGAAACCCTATTTTAATACACAAAACGGTGCAAAATTAATCACATAGTGATGAATATACCTCATTCTTATGCTTGAAGTACTTGCACCTCATGGATTTCAATTTATATAAAAAAAACTGAACGACAATTTAGGTTAGGTCCACATTGCTATCAATTCATAATATTAAGACTGTAAATTAATTTTTTTAATGTTTGAGAGTACAAATTAAGAATCAAAATATCTTTCAAGTGCAAAGTTAGATTAACCCTATGACTAATCACAACATTTCCAAGTCAAAGAATTTCATTTGTGAAATACATTTCTATACTTCAAAATTTTAAAATATGATGGGGAAAATCAACCTTCTTCAGACTTGATATTCATTTTGAAAATAAGGACAGGTTACATATGCTTCATAGTCAAATTGCTACAAGTATTCACCAAACCAATCTAGAAAGGTAGGCAAAAGATAACCCATATAGCATGTTATCTTATGGATCTAGATAGAGGGCATTAAAAAAATAAATGGATAACAGTCTGAGGGCTTTGGTTACAAAAGGGCCAGAAAATATTTAGAACATGCATTATGGAGGAAAGATACTTTTTGTGGGATGCTTTCAGATGCCATTCGCCAAAGCATGATTGTGTGTCTTTCATGTATAGGTGAATGCCAAAGTTTTGTCCAACCTTTTGGCTCAAGATATGTGCTATTGGTCTTTTTCAGTTCTATGCAGTTGTATATAGATCTTGTGTCAAATTGACCTATTTTACTGGGGATCCATGCCGTTGATCATCTCCTGGGAAAGTTGGAAGCTTTTCTTGAGAATTGATTGTACTGTTGTGGAAAAAAAACTTAGACAAAAGAGCTTCTTTCCATTCATTCCTTTGGTTATCAATCAGGTTGTACTGTTGTGAAAAAAAACTCAGACAAAAGGTCTTCTTTCCATTCATTCCTTTGGTTATCAATCAGGTCAACAACTAGTGTTGGAAGACGGTCCATGTCTTGATCAGGCTGCACTGGAAAATAAAGCCCGGCCTTTTGTCGTCAAGTTTTTAGAAGATCCTATAATTTTAGATATATTATCATAACACATGAGTAACTGATTAATATAACTATATTGTTGTAAAGCTTGATATAAGGAGGGAGAGAATAAGGAGAGAAAGAGTAACGACGAGAGAAAATAGAGGGGAGAGAGATGAAAAAATCAAATCAAATCAAATATTTACACATTTGAAAAGAAAATAAACTATCAATGGAAGAGAGAGGAAAAAAATTGGGGGATATATAAAGAGAATAACGGAGAGAAAGAGAGAGTGAAAGAGTAATGGAGAGAAAGGGAGAGAGAATAATGGAATAATGAAATGACATTTTAGACTTTTTCCAAAAAAATGCAATTAGAGCCAAATAAGTTTCCTCAATTTATTTTATCTCAAATAAGTCTAAATTTAAGATCAACATAGATGCAGCAGTGGCTCAAAGAACTGCTAGGGTGGCAGCAATTGCAAGGAACTCAAAAGGTGAGGTATTTTGCATCCATACTTGCAGAAGCGTATCCTGCAGAGGATACCGAGGCTTTAGCGGCTAGACATGCAACAATCTGGCCAAAATCAACAGCGTGGAACTATGTCACCTTTGAAGGGGATAACCAAACAATGATCCACTCAGTCATGCTCCCACATGTAACATCACATTGGTCCATCCACAACATCATCCAAGACATAAAGATTCAACTTGCTGAGCAATGGGGTTGGTCCATGGTCCAAACTAGAAGAGAAGCAAATGGCGCTGCACACGAATTGGCTAAGTGAGGTATGGCAATGAAGTACACTGCTCTCTCGTGGCGGGTGCGATCCTGCAAAACAGTCAAAGGCTCACTCCAAGAGGATCTCATGGACAACGGAGTAACGTGACCAAGGAAGGGCAATGGTTCAATTTGTTTATTATTTCCTTTCTAGTTAATTTCTTTACTTGTACTTAACTATTTTGCTCAGCCAAAAAAATAAAATATAGCATGTTATCACTTTAGGAAACTCAAGTATGGCCCATAATGTGGGTCCAATTCAATACCATATCTTCATTTTTAGGTTAACAAAAACATGATAGATGCGAGTTTTCTTACGATGTTATTTTACTTTATTTTATTTTTTGTACAAGCAATATAAAAATATGTTAAATTAAGATAACTGTCTACTATTCACTTTTTGGTCCAATACTAATTGTTTCAAAGAGTGTCGTACTCTTTTGCAAATAACACACATCATATAATCGAACTTTTCTACTTTCCAAAAGATCATATCAACCAATTCTAGAAAGTCGTATGAATACTTAATACACTTAATTCCTAATTATCTCCTTAGTGGGAGTCTAATTTACACGGAATGCCAAATATGTCATAAAGGATTGGAAAATTGGGAGACCAAAGTGGTCTTTCTAGTGTAATCATCTCTATTTGTCAATTTATTTATAATTTTAATGGAATTTGTCACACCCCGACCTAGAGAACATTATGTCCAAATCTGCTAGAGGGGACTCCTCTCCCAAATACACACTTATACCTTGTACATATGAATTTTCAATTAAAAAAAAATAGTAATTTAAATTGATTAGTTACAATAGTATAACTTTACTCCCTTTATATCCTAACCATTCTTTTACATGAAATAATACCTATACAACCTTACTTTAGTACAATGCATAGCTCTCTAATTACAAAACTCAGTAACTATACAAAATGTCCTCACAAGACACAGGAAACCTTTTTCCTCTTATACTGGCTAGACCCAGCAGTGGACATCCCATTTGGACATCCCACTTGTCTTTATTTACCAGAAAAACATATACTAAAGAGGGTGAGTATACACGCTCAGTGAGTGTATATAAGCAATCAACAATAACAACTGTAATAACAGATAATGCATACACAATTATTATATTCCCAATCAACTAAACCGCACTTTAAATAGTTAGATATAAGCTTCTTTATCTCTTTAGTAATCTTACAATACGCCATTACCAGCATTCCATTAAAGTTATATCAATACTTGTCCCTCAACCGATCTTGCCTTGTAGACCACATCTGCCACACATGCTACATATTTTTCATTTTGACAATATTGGCCCTACTAGCTATATAACTGTTATTAATGAATTATTCAACAATAAGGTTACTCTTAGAAATCATACACTATATAGTAATCACAATCCTATCATAACCAACAAGACAAATCGCACAGCTAATTATTTACGACAAACAACACAAGCCTTTAAGGCACCATCATTCAACAATTCATTCATATGCATTTATAAGTTCTTTCACCCAATCACATATCAACTCACTCAATAGTCTTCAACCATGCCAATAATATGATAAAGTTTTTTTACCGTTCCAATCACAAGCAATAAGCCACCTCATTACACAAATTCATAACATATAAAGTAAATTTTAACTAATCTCATACACACAAAAAATACACCCATCTCAAGTCCCGATATCGCATAATCTCCGTCGTCAAATAAAATCTTAAGCATTTCTGTCGTACGAGTCGACACATCCATTCCAACCACACATTATAATTACCACATAAATACTTTTTACATATACATATAAATACCTTTTCCTTCCAAATGATACACTCTTCACCACCCTAAACTTTACTTATCTTTTACTCATTTTACTCACTTCAATTCTAGTTTGAATCATCATTCCATGTATTTGTAAGCCATTAAACTCATATAAACTTACAGTAATACTAAACTGACCAAATTTAGGGACCAAATTTTAAACCCAAATGACATGACAGATGACTTAGGCTTTTTTGATTGGTGTCATGTCATTTGGGCCCCAATAAAAACTTCAAATAATCAACTGTCATGTCATTTGAGCTCTAAATTTGATCATCAAATTTGATCAGTCTAGCATTACTCTAAAACTTATTTAAGATCC